GTAGCTTGAAGGATACAGGATTCTCATGGGCAGATCATGAGAACAGGTTTGTTTATAACCCATAAGAACAAAGTCTGAGATATTTATAAACAGGAAGAAACAGGCAACTAGCAAGAAAAAGGAAATCTTGGGGCCAGAACAATAGCACAGTGGGTAGAGGGCTTGCCTTGCAAACCCAAGTTCGACCCCTGGCACCCCAGTATGGTCCCCTGAGACCTTCAAGAGTAATCTCTGAGTGCAGAGCCAGGAGTAAGCCTTGAGCATTGCCTGGTATGAAGGAAGAAAAGAAAAGAGGGAAGGGGAGGGGAAGAGAGGAGAGGAAAGTGGGAGGCAGGAGAGAGGAGGGGAGGAAAGAGAAGGGGAGGAGAGAGGAGAGAGGAGAGCTAAGAGGAAAGAAGTAAGGGGAGGAGAAGAGAGAAGACAGAAGGGCATGCTAAGAGGGCACACTTGGGGAGTGATTGGGGAAATGGGGACAATTGTGAAAGGAAGGTCACTCTAGCGGTAGGATTAGTGTTGGAACATTGAATGCCCAAAGCAACTGTAGTAAGAGTAAGAACTTTGTAAATCACAGTGTTGAAATAAAAGATTATGCAAGATCTTCTTAGAAATCCCATCAAGGCCAGCACTCCCTAAAACTTGCTTTTGATAAGTGAAACTTACCTGTGACTTTATCTTTCAAAAGCTCATAAACATACAAATAAACACATACATACATCTCACAGATAGAATCAGTAACCTGTAGTAAATATTGTATTGTTGTCAGGGAAAGCATTTAAGTTAAAATCTCTCTTTTCTCCTGTGAAAACTTTTTAACTCATTATTAAAAAATGAACTATAGAATAGGGAATATATCTGCAAATATAGATATAACAGATGACAATATATGTTCTGTATAATAATAATACAGTATACATAATATATGACACTCAGCTCTATGACAGTATCTTTTTAGAGGTATTGAATTCTGTTGTACTTTAACACTTAGGAATTTTGTCAATATCTCTTTTTTTTCATTTTTTTTATTTTACTGAATCACCGTGAGATATAATTACAAGTTTTCATGTTTGAGTTACAATCACAGAATGATCAAACACCCATCCTTCCATCAGTGCACATTCCCCACCACCAATATCCCCAGTATACCCCCCTTTCCCACCCTCCCACTGTCTCCATTATTCCCCATACTCTCTCTCTCTCTACTTTTGAGCATAATGGTTTGCAATAGTCAATATCTCTTGAACACTTAAAAAAATGTGCTTGCCATCACAGATTCTAGACCTCACTACAGAATCACTTAGGTTAATTTTCTATAGTTAAAGTTGTTTCTACTCATTTTTGCAGTGAATCTTTAGATGAATAGATAACAAAATCAAACTCTAGCTTGGATTTTATCTGGTTTATGTTGTTCACTTCTGAGGAGGTGACCTATGTCCTGTGGATTATTCAGTCTTGTCATGGCAGTTTTCTGAGCGGGAGCTATAGCACAGTGGTAGGGCGTTTGCTTTGCACGACTTGGGTTTGATTCCTCCGCCCCTCTAAGAGAGCCCGGTAAGCTACCCGGAGTAACTCACTTGCAGGGTAAAGCCTGGAAAGCTCCCCGTGATGTATTTGATACGCCAAACACAGTAACAACAAGTTTCACAATGGAGACATTACTGGGCCTGCTTGAGCAAATTGATGAACAACGGGAGGACAGTGGACTGGGCTACAGTGCTACAGGTGGTCCATACATGTGTCCTATAGAAATATTATTATAAAGCATGTTTCAGATCTGTGTATTTTCTTTAAGTATTTTTTCCTTTTTTCTATCCTACCCTTCAGTTCAGGGATATATAGCTCTGACTGAAATATAAATTCGCTCTCAGACTTCTCACGCAAGAATTTGCATAGCATCTTTGTGTAGCAATAAAGGGTTACAGGCAAAAAAGACAAGTAGTACCCTGTAATGTATATGCGGAAAGACATAGTCTGGAACCCAAACCAGCCCAGACACGAAGGCATGAACTACAGTGTTTGTTCACAGTTTCGTGGTGACCAGGATCCCCTGGTGCGTTGGGACCATACGCCATCCCCAGGCTGATGGATGAAGGAATGGGTCCACAGACCAGTAACCAGTGGTGACTTTATTCAAATCAATCAGGATTATGATATAAAAAGCATAAAGAGTTGAGAGACAGCAATTGCACATGGTGTGGTTGACATTAACATAAACATGAACACCCCTAAAATGCTTCCTCCAGGGGATTTTCTTCTAGATTAATTTAAGGGCAGCATTCCACCTCCAGCACTCAAGATTCCTTCTAGGAGATCTGCCCAGGGATAGCATTCCATCTAGGGGCATACTGCTTTCTCCTCTCTTTTCCTGGTAATTCACATAAGCAATCATATTAAATGTACTTCTTATTACAATGGAAGGTCCCAGAGTGGCTTACCGTGAAGTGGGGAAGAGAGAGGCAGCAGCCTCCAGAAGGAAATCTAGGGCTGTCCCTCTGTCAACCTCTGTCACCCGGTGGAGCTCCTGGGAAATTTACAGTGATGAAAGTCTACAGTGACAAGGCAGAGACACTCATCCCTTGCCAATCCCACAAGGTAGCCATCAAGCTGCGCCAGAAGCCCACTTGCTCTGCACGGATGAGAGATGACCCCTGTTACCTGATTTCCTGGGTTGTCGTGGACTCAGACTGGAGGGAGGAATTGCTCTTTGCAGGAAAGGAAAGTCAGTCTCAATCTTATCCAGGCCCTTTGGTTTTGTCACCTGTCCCTCATAGGGAAGAATTTCAGAAAGACACAAAGAGAAAAATATAATAAGTTTATTGGAGAAATTAGGGAGAGAAGGAGAGGGGTAGATAAAATTACAAGAATATGGGCTTCTCCAGAGCTTAGAGAGACCCAAACAGTGTTTGGGGGAAGGTTAAGTATGGATGTTTTCAATAACCCCCTTTGTCCCAAGTTCTTTGTACAAGGAAGAATTGATGTGATTTTTCCCTGGGGAAAAGCATTGAACTTCTGCTAATTCATTCTTGAGTTCCTGTTGTAGCCTTTGTTCCAAGCATTCCAGGTGTCTCTCCTCTCAGGGATGCATCAGTACTTGGGTCTGGAATTCTGCATTTCAATGGTTTTCCAAGTTTCTGAGACGGGTCTTTTTGTCACAAAAGCCTCCGATGCCTTGGGGGGGGGGGGGAGGGCTTGTTTCAGACATGTTTTCCCCAACATATATTACCAGGGCCCCCTATATCATCCTGCGTACAACACTTGTACCATATTTTACCAAGTCATCTGTTTTTAAATACTTGGATTTTTTCCAGATTTTGGCTATTGTGAATAATGTTGCAATGAATATAGGAGTATAAATGTCTTTTTTTGTTTTTTGTTTTTTGTTTTTTTAGTTTTTGGTCCTTTGTTGTATACGCCAAGAAGTGGAATTGCTGGGTCATCTGGAAGGTCAATTTCTACTTTTTTGAGAACGTGTTCGCATTGTTTTCCAAAAAGATTAGGCCAAATAAAGAGTACAGCAGATAGGGTGATTGCTTTGCATGCGGCCAAACCAGGTTCAATCCCCAGCACCACATATGTTCCCTGAGCCCCACCAGAAGGGAGCCCTGAGCCCTGAGTTCAAGAGTCTGGAGCAAGTCCTGACCACCACAAGGTGTGGCCGCCCAAAATTTAAAAATAAAAAATAAATATTGGGCCAGTCAACATTCCCAGCAGTAGTGAGAATAGACAAATTATTTTATCATGATTTTTCACATGATTGAAAAATAACAGATCTTAAAACTTTTCCCTTTGTTTATAAAAATATCACTGATGGCATTTTAATATATTTTAGTATATGCAGAATAGACATTGGATTATGTGTTATGATTTTTATATTTCCCTATGCAAACTTTTATAAGACAAGAAATAATCGAATCTTTTTTAGTACAGTGGAAAGGAAATTTGCATAGGAAATTGAGACTTGACCGGTAATTCACAGGGACCAGGTTAGGGGAAAATTAAATAATTTGACATCTGATATAACTTCTCGAGCGGGCCCAGTAACGTCTCCATTGGAGACTTTGTTGTTACTGTGTTTGGCATATCGAATACATCACGGGGAGCTTGCCAGGCTCTGCTGTGCGGGCGAGATACTCTCGGTAGCTTGCCGGGCTCTCCGAGAGGGGCGGAGGAATCGAACTCGGGTTGGCCATGTTGGCTGTGTACAAGGCAAATGCCCTACCGCTGTGCTATCGCTCCAGCCCAGCTTTATATAACTTCTAAAAAATAATATTCTTGGTAATAAACTGAAGGGAAAGTTTCTTTCCTAACTTTCCCACTGGGAAACTGAAAACACTAAAAACTTTTCTTCCTTCTGCAGTTTATTAAAGAACTGCCTCTTTTCCTAAGCTTCACACATTTTGTATAATTTAACGTTCTTTAATACTTCCTGTTATCCATATGTGCAGAATTTCTAGAATGTCAGTCATGAATTTCACTGCACACATATTTTCTTAAAAACAGTTCTAGATGATCCCTGTTTCTGAGCAAGACTATTCTGATAGAATAACGTTCATCTCAAACATACCTCCACATTCCCTTTCCCATTCTAAAGACAGAACACTCAAACACTTGAAAGGAACAAATTAGAACAGAACATAGTAATAATTTCTGAGATACATTAATGATTCTTAGATATTCATAAACATAAACTATATAATTTGGAAGATAATAAAGTACGTAGGTGAAATGCCCAGGGCATGATAATTATAAAGAATTTCTTACAATATTTTGTAACATTTGGTTGCTTTTCTGAAAAAGATGAGCTAGCAATTTTTCTCTATTCTTTTCCTAAAATCCATTTATACATAGGATATGTGACATGCTTAGGTCAAGACTTTTATGTCCAAATCTTTGGAAATGATCCAGTTATACATAAAGCAACCTGAGTAAAAAGTTATAGACTCATGAGTTCATTTTTTCATGACATGTGTCCCCACTTATTTCTTTCCTCTTGGCTGGATCCTCTACTGCCACAGAAGTGACAGAAAGACTTCTTTTAGTTTCTTATTTCCCAAAATCAGAAAAAATGAATGACTTGAAGGATACAGGGCTAATAGAATCTGGCAAACATGAAAGAATGATTCGTTTTTCAACATTTCTGAATTCCAGATTGAGATGATTACAGTCACAAAGTAACTGGTGTAGAGCAAGAGAAAGGAGGTCATAGTCTGCATGGCTCTGATGTGGACCTTGGTGCTGAGATCTTGAGGTTCTTTGCCATTCATTTTCATCTTCTTGAAATGTTTCCATAGGGAAAAGATTAACAGCAGAAAAGATATCAGAGACATAGTGAAAGGTATAAAGTTTGATATTATGAAGACAGTCATGTTGGACTGTCGCACAATGTCATTCCATTTGGTCTTCCAAGTTACATTTCCACTGCATTCATTCTTCCACACACTTTCATCTGTGCTTGCCTTTACAAGATGAAAAGCCAAAGAAGGCAAGCTCCCCAGCAGCAATATAAAGATAACTCTGTTAACTCTTTTTTTAAAATAAAAAAACAGAACACTAGAAAAGCTGACGATCTTGAGCAAATAGAATACGCTGAGACTAATAACAAGCCAGATGCTAAAATGGTTGCTCACTATCCAGACAATATTACCGACAATAAATACTTCTAAACTATATGAAGCTGCATTAAACATGGTTACAATCCAATTCATTTCTATTACCCAGAGCAAACCCATTCTGGAGATGGCCAAAACTGTGAGTATTTGATCTACGAAGGCAACCTTTCGTCTCTTGACCCAGTCAATACAGTTCACCAGCACAATGAAGCCATTGGCAAAATTTCCTAGAATAAATTCTGTCAATAAAAGGATGGAAAAAACAGTTGTCAGAAAGGTTATCATTCCTAGGGGGAAAGTCAAACCTAAAATCACTAAAATTTCTCGTTGTGACCCTTTAATACTCAGATCTTAATTCTATGAGCACATGGTACCTGAATGTGCATAAAATCCTCATTTTAATTCTGACATCAGTGTTAAGATGAAAACAACCAAGGTGTGATAATATAAAAGCTTAAATATTGTCTTTCAATGAGCTATTTGATAAATGCTGCCGTCCCAAACATCTCAAATTATCTCTGTTCATCCATTTTATGTCTTTACTATGTCAGATGCCCTATTTTGTAACTGATGATGATGTAAATGCCAAACACTCATTTGCGAGCATGCAAATCAGGACATATTTTCTTTCATTGTTTTGCAATTTTCCTCTGTGACCTCTCCATCATTTTTATTCACTAACATTGTCATTTAGTAAAATTTTAAATCCAATACAGCACCAGAGAGAGTGGACTGAGTGTACACTTTGCATGCAGGAGGCCCAGGTTCAATTCCCAGCACTGCAGGATTCTCTGAACATGTATTAACAAGTGTGGTCCACAAACTCCACTCAGTAAGGCCTCCAAACAAAAAAATTAAATTTAAATAATCAAAAAAATGAAATCCAATAAGCTTACCATAAAATGAGTATTTGAAGTATTAAATAAAGATTTATCATCTTCACTATGAACTTTTGTTTTTAATGTCAGATTTAAATAGAAAGAACCCAAGTTGTTTCTGTCTAAGTATCAAGGTCTATTTGGGAGTAAAGAGTTTCTAAAAGTTGCGTAAGGACAACATATATTTAAGTGTACTTTTTTCTTAAATTTTATGAATACACACACATACTCATAAATGCACCACAGGCCTCATTAATAAAAGTTAAAGTCCCATACTTTACAAAATAAAAAATATCCCCCAGAAGTTTCTCTAGATTTAAATCCACAATTTCTCTCATTCCATTTCTTAGCCTTTTAATAATAGTTACCAGATATCTCTCTCATACTAGGACTTTAATAAAATTTCTCTCTGGTCAATTTAATATTTGTTTTGACTCTTCAAACTAAGTATTCAATGTCTTAGAACTATTTCTTTATTTCAAAAGAACATGTAGTTTCTGTACTAGAGTCTACATGTCACTAATTAGGAATATTCACATTTATTTTTTGTTTAATTCATTTTGACTTCTTAATAAAAAGGTAGCTTCTGCCTCTCTTTGAATTTTATGCACTTCCAATTTTATTGAAAATGGTTTTTAAATACACGTATATGAAATAAATGCATTGGTTTTTCTCCCTCTTATTTCCTTATCTGATGATATAAAAATATATGAATTTATTCAAGTATTGATCATTTCTTTTTACTTTTGGGTTACACCTGGAAGTGCTCTGGGATTACTCCAGGGTTTCTGCTCAAGCATTACTCCTGTAGTATTCAGGGTACCAGATATAGTGTTGGTGATCATATTGGGGTCAGCTGCATGCAAGGCAAGCACATTACATTCTGTATTATCTTTCTGGCCCTTCATGTGTTTATAGTTTATCTCATAGCTGGCTTTTTAAACTTTATTGAGGTGCTATGGTTTATAATAATTTAACACACATCATTCCAACAGCAAACCTACCACCAGAGAATACACACTTCCCTGCACCAAGGTCCTAGAGATCTCTCCCGATCAATCCCTGCTCCCACCTCCAACCTCAGTTCTGTGGACCAACTCTCTAGTTTTGTTTCCTTGGACCATTTTCTGCTCCCATACTGTGTGTCTTTAAGTCCCACATAAGAAGAGCTCATTCTGAGAACAAAAGGGAATGCCCTGCCACAGAGGCAGGGTGGGATGGAGGGGATGAGGGGGTGGGAGGGATACTGAGTTCCGTGGTGGTGGAAGATGGACACTGGTGGAGGGATGAGTACTTGATCATTGTATAACTGAAACCCAAGCATAAAAATTTGTAAGTCTACAACTGTACCTCATGGTGTTTCACTAATAAAAAATAAATAAATAAATAAATAAATTTAAAATTTTTTTTAAAAAAAAAAAGAAGAGCTGGGGCTGGAGCGATAGCACAGTGGGTAGGGCGATTGCCTTGCACGCAGCCAACATGGCCGACACAGGTTCGATTCCCAGCATCCCATATGGTCACCCGAGCACCGCCAGGAGTGATTCCTGAGTGCATGAGCCAGGAGTAACCCCTGAGCATCGCCGGGTGTGACCCAAAAAGCAAAAAAAAAAAAAAAGAAGAGCTCATTCTGCATCTGTAGCTTTCATTCTGAATGACTTGACTCTGTCTCATAATTTTTAATTTCATAAAATCAAGATCTTACTTCCTCTTCTGGGGACGAGGTTATCTTGCTTTGTATGTACACATGTTATATTACGTTCTGTAGAATATTAATTTTTTACTTCATTTGTAAATCAACTGTACTATTAGGAAATGTATACACTGCCAAATTCTCTGGGAGTAGAGTTGTGGTAATTAATTTTTAATAAATTTTTATTGATTGAAATTCTGTGGCTTGCAATATTATTAATGATGGTTTCTCATACACATAATTCTAACACCACACGCATCACCAATGTACCCATCTCCCTTTCCTAAGACATCAATGCCTCTCCCTTTCAACAACCCCCTCTCCCACCACCAACAACAACTCAATTGTGTGGATCAGTTCTCCCATTGGCTTACTACCTCACTGCATATCTTTAAGTCCCACATATAAGAGAGATCAATCTGTATCGATACTTTTTCTTCCGATTGATTTCACTCAGCATGATATCCATATTGTTGAAAACTGTATGATTTTGTTCTTTCTTACAGCTGCATAGTATTTGTAATGGCTAGTGTTACATATAATTTTGACTGGGTCCAAAGGTGATCAGATACTGGTATAAATGTTTTACTGGGTATATCTGTCATGGTGTTCCTGGTTAAGATTAAACTTCCAATCAGTAAACTGAGTAAAGAAAATGCTCTCCTCATTGCATCTTACATTCTCAACCAGTCCATTGAGGGTCCAAAAAAAGCAAAAAACTGAGGAACAGAATTTACTCTTCCTTCTCTACCAGACTAATTTCAAGTTTCACATTGTTCACCAGACTTCAGACTTAAGAAGTGATTCAACATACAGCATTTCATCCTATTTCTCATGCTTGTAAACTCAGACTGAAAATTTGTCAGTGATTTCATGACTCTCCCTATGCAATATATCTTCTGATTTCTCAACTCCATAAATTCATGAAGTCATTAATTATCATAAATTTATATATGACATTATAACCTATACCTGCTTGTATTCTATTGATTTTTTTCCCAAGGGAAACCTAGCAGATATCGGTACATATGCTTATATTAAAATTTAACAAAAATTTTTCAAAAATATATTATATAAAATGTCATTATCATAAATAATGTATGTTGATAACAATGACTGTATAACCTGTTTATGATAAAAAAAATACATTGAGTCAAAAAAATAATGCTTTCAGGGCTGGATAAATAGTGTAGTGGGAAGGGGGTTTGCCTTGCACACTGCTAACCTGGGTTCAATCCCTGTATCCCTGTGGTCCTCTGAGCTCTGCCAGGAATGATTCCTGAGCACAGAGGTAGGAATAAGGCACTAGCACTGCTATCTGTGGCACCAAAACAAAAATAAATTAGTAATAATGATAAATGTTTTAAAGTTTTATAATGAAGCTGTAGCAAACTACCATATATTTGTTGGTTTACACACAAATTATTCTACAGTGCTGCTGAAGTTCACCAATCTAAAATCATCTGAAAATAATCCATCTAAATTAAACTTTCTCATCTTAGTCATATACTGATATATTATGATTCTAAATCATTTTTATCAATACACAGTATAAATTTATATGTTACTGCACATAGTGTTACATTTCATATCCTATTGACAGTTTTATTATCATTCTTCTTCTTGTATCCAGTACTATTGTAAGAGCAAGCATTATTGAGCAGAGATATTCCCATTAAGTGAACATTATGTCAGATCACTTGAAAATCAATGCTAAAATCATAGTGTATGCTGTTTAATAACACCTATAAGAATCCAGTGAAAGAAATGTTGAAAAGGATATGGCCTACAAGGTCTTTTACTGGGTACCCCTCATTGCAAAAATATTTATAAAAGATGTTAAGGATTGTGCTTCTTCCATAGAATTTAAGGTGCCACAGTAATCTCGAGGTAACCTACCTAGTCTGCTCTATTGAAAACCTATAACAAAAGAGTAGACTGAGGAAAGGCATATGAACATCTTATGTCCAACATCACAGTTGGTATTATAAAAAGAATCTAACCTGGAATTGGAGATGAAATAATTGCTAAAGAGGAATAAAGTTGTCATCAAAAGCATGGTTCCTTTATGGTTCTCTGTGTTGGAGTTTCTGAGACACACAGAGATTTGCTGATGAGATGTTCCCATTCTTTTCTTTTAAGATAATCCGAGATTTATTATTTTTTAAAATTTTTATTAGTGAAACATCATGAGGTACAGTTGTAGACCTACAAATTTTTGTGCTTGGGTTTCTGCTATTCAATGATCCAGTACCCATCCCTCCACCAGTGCCCATTCTCCAGCATTTACATTTTTTTTTTAATTTTTGTTAGTGAAACACCATGAGGTACAGTTGAAGATTTACAAATTTTTGTGCTTGGGTTTCAATTGTACAATGATCAAACACCCATCTCTCCACCAGTGCCCATTTTCCACCACCACGGGTCCCAGTATCCCTCCCACCCCCCTTTCCCCCATCCCACCCTACCTCTGTGGCAGGGCATTCCCCTTTGTTCTTTCTCTCCTTTTGGGTGTTGTGGTTTGCAAAAGAGGCATTGAGTGGCAATCATGTTTGGTCTATAGCCTACTTTCAGCATGCTTCTCCCATCCTGGGAGGATCCTCCTAGCACCCTTTATTTGGTGTTCCTTTCTCTATCTGAGCTCCCTTTTCCCCTAGCATGTTTGGCTGGACTCCAAGTCATGGAGCAAAACTCCTGGTACTAAACTCAGCCACTCTTGGAGATGTTCCCATTCTTGACCCATCAATGCCACTGACCCAATCCGTGAATCATTCCTAGTTATCTGAGATGGATTCTCCTGTTGCTGCCACCAGAAGGAAGACCTTTACTCTAAGGGAAATTTCTATCACACTGCCTAGAACTCTGGGGATTAATGCTAAGTAACTAGTTGATGTCATACATTTAAAACTAAAGAATGTTTGATTTCTAAGTAGAGTCACCTTGCCTTACTTTTGTTTTATACTAGGTAAATTATCCACAGTTTTAAGAAAGCAAAACCATTATCAACAGGATTAAAAATACAGAATCTAGAGAACAAAAGGGAATGCCCTGCCACAGAGGCAGGGTGGAATGGGGGGATGGGGGGGTGGGAGGGATCCTGGGATCCGTGGTGGTAGAAAATGGGCACTGGTGGAGGAATGGGTACTTGATCATTGTATAATTGAAACCCAAGCACAAAAATTTGTAAGTCTACAACTGTACCTCATGGTGTTTCACTAATAAAAATTTAAAAATAAATATACAAATAAGCAAACAAACAAACAAAAACAAAAAAAAAGAACTTTGATGGCATTCAGTGTGAAGTAAGTCAAAGAAAGACAAAAAAACATATTTTTATTCATATATGAAATCTGAAAACAAAACATAATAAAGCCTGAGTTCACAGAAACAAGGCAATCATTGCCAAAGGTAGGGGTTTGTTGGGTGACTGAATGGATGAAAAGGATTATAAAAAAAATACAAATTTTCATTTATAAATTTTCAATCATTGTTTGTAATGTGTATAGCATGGGAACAATAATGTATTGAGTATTTGAATGTTTCTGGGAGTAAATCTTAAAATTCTCATTGGATAAGAAAATATAATTATATGGTGAGAGATGTTAACTAGATTCATTTTGGGGTTCTCTGCACAATAAAAAAAAGTATCAAATTGTTATATGCCTGAAATAAATATCCTGCTCTTGTATGTCTCAGTTAAAAAGAAAACAGAAAACTCACAAAAGACACAGAATCTCAGTTAATTTTTTTTAAAATGTAATATATAAATTATGCAAATTATTATTGTAAAAATTTAAAATATAAATCATCAAATAATACATAAGTGATGAAAAAGGGATGATGGTGATAACGATGATGAGGATGATTGAGGATGATGTAGTGACTGCAGCTAAAATGAGAGAACTCTACTGATAGATTGACTTTATACGTTTTCTAATAGGCATAGTGCATTGTCATAGAACACTACCACCTCCTCCTTTCTTACATCTTTTTCAGTCTCACAAAAGACCACTTTTGTCTATTACTTCATCAAGTTACTTATTTCTGATAATTTCCTTCCTACCTTTTTTCTTTTTTTGGCTTCTATCCAAAACATATCCCAGAATTAACAGCACCACACTTCACTTGCCTTTTCCTCTGAATAAGTACGTGTGACCCATATTGTTATTATATGGATTATAACAATGATAGCAATTTCTTTAATGCTTTCACAGGATAATTTGCAAACAAAATACCTCAGCCTGTTCATTTGCATTTTCAGCTATTGCTACTAACTATTTATTTTATAATTAAGTTAATATAGCACTACATGTACACAAACATCTAAATAGTCTACAAAAATAAACTCTATAGATCTGTTTATTTTTATTATACAATTTAAATATTCCATTGTATTGATAGAGCATAACTGATTTCATTTTTATTGCTGATGCTCATTTCTATGACATTTCAATTTTAACTATAAAGAATAATGATTATATAAACAATTTCACATATATGTTCTGACACACATCGACAAAAATATTCAATTACATTGAATAATATAGTACAGTTGGTAGTACAGTTAAGGACGTTGGATAAATTACTTATGTCAACCACATAATGCCATGCTGCTGCCAAAAGTTATTTTATGACTATATAATCATGATACATTATGTAAAAACTACTGCTCCTGCATATTCTTTCCAAAAATTAGTAATATCAGTAAAAGTGTGTGTACTTTTTTACTAATATAAAGCATTAGTAAATGCAACTTACACTTAATGTTTGATCACAATGTTACTGTTTTTATACTGAGATTATGACTAGCTCAAGAAATGACTACAATATTATGCACATGTCTCATTGTTTATTACTATACCATTAACAAAGCTTGCAATGCTTCTATTTCTTAAATATTCTCATTACCTCAGGAATTTATATATCAGAAAGACAAAAGGATATTTCTATTACACAAACATGTCAACTAATTTGGAAAAAAAATTAGTAGTTAAAGGCATATTGTAAGGGAAACCTCAGTGCTGTTTAGTAACTCATAAAAAGTCCCAATGAAACAAATGTTGAAATTGAAATTAACTTACAAAGTCTTCTATTATAGTATTTTCCAATAGAATACAAAACATTCATTCAAAATCTGTGGAAGTTAAGGTCTTGTTTTCCTTCCAGATAATTTAAGATGCCCAAGTATTCTCAGGGCACTTTGTCTTAACTTCCTGTTTCCCAAAATTATGATAAATGAATGGACTGAAGGAAAGGTCATTGAAAACATCATGATGATCATTATGGCCTGATACCTCTGTATCTCAAACAAAATCCAATTGGCAGTTAGACAGACAGTAAAGTAAATGATGAGGAGAAGGAGGAAGGCTGCCACTGATGTCATGGCTCTTCTATGAGCTTCTGTGTAGGAGTCCTTAGAGTTCAGGGACTTCAACTGCAAATTCTTGGTGTGCCTCACCAAGGACAAAAATAAAAGAACCAAAGAAGTCAAGGACAAGAGAAAAGGAATAACATAGATTAAACTAATAACAAGGCTATGCCGTTGAAAAGTTTCAGTTATGTCATTCAAAGTCATGTTTCTTTCGTAGACTCTGTAAGTACCCTTCCAATGCTCAATAAAACTATCCTGTATCAACAGGTTGACAAACAGTAAGAAGAAAGAGCCCAGGAAAAGCACAAGAACCACGCTGTTCATTCTCCACTTCAGCCAGATGAAAAGAGAGTTGGAGAAATTGGCTATTTTAAGAAAGTAGAAAATGCTTAAGCAAGTGGCAAACCAGGTGGCAAGGTGATGATTTAGAGTCCAAAGAACAGTAAATGCCCTTGCTAGTTCTCCAGTGGCATACAGATGTGGAAAAAAACCTACTATAAAAGAATCTGGTAGTGTGATCCACAGTTGAACAATTCTGGTCATTGCCAAACTGGTAAGGAGAAAGTCAACTGATGTGAACTTCCCATTCTTGACCCATTTCATGCAGTTGACCAGTGCAATGAATCCATTTCCCAGTGTTCCTAAAATAAATTCTCCTATTGTCAGTACCCAAAAAACTTTCACTGATGTTGACATTTTCATGAAAATGTTTCCAACATTACATGCCACTGACAGCTTTATTTAGTCAGCTGTGAGATGTCAACCAATCCTGATGCTTTCAGCCAATGTTATCTTCAAAATTGCTGAAAGTATAACCAAACTTCAACAAGGTGATATAGTTTCAGAAACCTTCATTAAAAAGATAGTTCATTCTCACTGAACTGTAATTCCAGCATGAAATCAAATTGTTCTATTAAGAGATACAAAGCATCCATATGTTTTTATTAACATCAACTCTTTTAATTTCCAGAATAAATTTCAATAATGTTCACTTACCCTTGTCAACAACCTTACTCCACCAACTGCAAATTTCTGCTGTTGCTAATCACTAAAAAGGGTAAGGTCAAATATGTCAATAGGTAAATATAAGAGAAATGTATTCTGTGCTTCATATCCTTAGCCAAACATAATGCAAATATTTTATATTTTGAATAGATCTCTTGATAAGAGAGTTAACATAATTCATTTTTCTCTTCAAAAATGTCCTTCTACTTCTCAAGTAATTTTGTTGACTAAATATGGTTATAAAAAGTTAATGAAATTTAATAATTTAAATATAATAAAATGTTTACCAGGCCAGAGCAATAGCATAGCGGGTAGGGTGTTTGCCTTGCATGTGGCTGACCTGGGTTTGATTCTTGCAAGTTACTGAGTGTTCTGCCCGCACAGCAAAGCTTGGCAAGCTACCTGTGACATATTCAATATGCCCAAAACCGTAACAACAAATCTCCTGATGGAGACGATACTGGTGCCCGCTCGAGAAAAATCAATGAAAATCGATGAACAACGGGAGGACAGTGCTACTGTGCCACCACTGTCAATCCCAATCCAAATCCAAATCCAAAATGTTTACCAAAATTCACATCCAAGTCTTAGAATAAATAACTACAGCTTCAGCATGATAATACAAAAGCTGCAATAAAAATTAAGAGCAAAACATGAAATGCATATGGGGCAGGTAAAAAGATTCTATAGTGAGGAACCAATTACGATTATGAATATAGGAACATTAAATGTGAATTGGATTTCTTTACAGTTTGTGAAGGAATAGAAAAAAGAACTTGATACAAATTTACTGTTAGGGTTGGATGTCCTAAAGATCGCACAAATCAATGAGCTAATGAGCTCTGTGTTTTAAAATTTTATTTGGCACAGGTCAAACAAGCATTGAGTTCAGAAAGCTGAAAAACCTGAGAAGGCTGAGAGGTCAGGGCCATCTCTTCCAGTAGGAGAGCCACTCCCCCCCCTTGTTTCCAGGGTCCTTTTATACTCTAAAAACACAAGAGGCTTTCCTAACCATCTTGTGCCACTCCCTAGTGATCTTTTCCTTGATTGGTTCGGTTGTTATCTCCGCCGACTTCATGCAGGGTTAATTCTGCTTTTTCGACTGGTCCCCATAAATGGATGAGAGTAGTTCTGCGTTTTCGGCTGATTCCCATAAATGGGGGTTATCTGGTTCAACAGAAAGTTACTGGCAACAGCTTTGCTTTTCTGAAATGGCTTTGTGTATGGTAAGCAAGGCTAAGTATTAGAGGAGTGGAGTAGCCCTTTATACTTACGTTGAAATTCTCAAAGTGAGATAAACTCGCTACAGTATGAGTTAATTAAAAATAACAGCTTCTATTTCACAATCACAGACTATCAGGATTGAAAAGTTTCTCAGGCCATCCAACTTCCAGGGCTCAAGTTCCTCTTCTTTTCTGATTTCTGGGCTGTCAAGAAGCTGTAGCTCCCAGTCTTCCTTACAGGTATGTCTGCCATGTGCGAACTCTGAAAAATATTCTGTGTTCCATCTTCCTTTTTCCCAGACAACACTTCAGCTGCCAAACAGAGAAAGTCCTGTCTCAGCCACTTACTTCCCCAAACCTAGATGAATGGGTGATTTTTTAAAAAAATTAAAAGAGTATTGCGAAGTATAAGAACCAGTCTGTTAGCAGCCTATTAAAATTCCAAAATGAGATGGTTATTTCAAGGAAGTAAATGACAAATCATATGAGAAGGGAGGTCACTGTCTTGTACGGCTGTGATATGGACCTTGGTCTTAGGATCTTGGCATTCTCGCTACTGAGCTACATCTTCTTAGAAAGTTTCCACAAGGGAATGATCAGCATCACAAGAAATATTGGGCTCTTCTAGCCCATGCTCTCCCTTGGGCACATCATCTTGCTTGCTTGTCTCTGTTTCTTTGCTTGCTTATTTTCACTTTGGAGAAGCCCCTATTGTCTCTTGAACATCTCATTCTCCCCTCATATTTTTCTAAATAGGTTTCAATAAAAGTTATCTTGTTTTACCCAAAAGGAGCTGGGGAGGTGGGGAGAAAAGAAATACCAGGGACAGGGTAAAAAAATACGCAGTTAACTACCAAATGTATAGTATAATTAGAAACTGTACAATTTTTCTGGTCTACCAGTGATATTCCTTCATTTTCTTTCATCAGCATATCCTCTGCAAGTCAAGAAACCAAACAGACCAATCTTCAGAAGTATGATGAGAACTACACCTTTAATTCTCAGTATATTTATACTGAGGCTGGTGATAAGTTAGATGCGAAAATGAGTGGTTGATGTCCAAGAAATATAACCAGTAATCCCAAAAGCATTCAAACTGTGTCATTAAATTAAATTGAAGTTGAATTAAAGACTGAATTAAAGACAGTTTTATGTCAGTGTATTAATATTACCTAAGGAAAACCAGATCTAAAGACTGAAATGTGAGCATTTGATCCACTGAGGAGATCTTTTGTATCTTTGTCCAATCTATGCAGTTCACCAGCACTGTGAAGGCATTGGAAAACTTCCTAGAACAAATTGTGCTATTACTAGGATGGGAAGAATGAACCCTAGTAAATTCATCTTGTCTGGGCAGGGATGGGACAAGCACCATCTAAATCTTGTAGGATGGAAGAGCACCATCTAAATCTTGAGTGTTGGTTTCTTGACCTTGTGTATGTGAAGTTGATCTTGGAATAGGTATGGAATACTTGTGTTTTTTCCTTCAATTCTCTCACCGATGTCACAAGGAAAGCAACAAAGTATGCTCACAATGGAAGCAATGCTGTTTTAACCAAAAAAAAAAAAATTTAATATTTCCTACCAGCTCAAATAGACTTCTTTTATTGTACTGTGCATTCTTTCCACAGACTGGGGTATTTCATATCCCATATTTCATTGACATTTGAGTGGACGCTGAACTTCCATTTGTCAGCAGGCAAATAAGGACAGTAAATATTTCCATTCTCTTCTTTGTTTAATCTTTTATAACATGTGCTCCTCAACTCAGACATTAGAAACATATAGAACACAGTCTATATAATCAAGTGAATTTTCACCAGAATTTTTAATTTTTAATCTCATCACTCCATTTCTAATTTTAATATAAGATTTATTGGAAAGGAATCCAAGATTTTGCTCTCGAAAACATCCTAGATTTTCTAGGGAGTCCCAAGAAGATCAATACCCCCTAAAAACTAATACCTATTATAACATAATTGTCTACAAACTTATTTAGACAAATCTTATTTAGACAATTGCACACAAACATATTTAGACAAATCTCGCCATTATGGAAGCAAGTAGCATCTTTTAGTTACCAGGCACAAAATCAGTTTAAGAAAGATTATCTACGTTTATCTCTCTATCCTTGCTAGCAGGCTTAGAAAAAACTTATTCATAACTCTCTAATGTGAGTTGGGCCTGGGAGATATGCTAGTGTGCATGCATTTAGGAGGCCTGGGCTCAGGCTTCAGCACAGCATGGTCTCGTAAGGACCACCAGGACAGATTACCAAGTAGCAAGCCTGGAGTATCCATTAAGTATCACTGGTATGACCCAAAAATCAAAACCCAAAATAGAAAAGACAAAATATGCTTGGTTTGGTTTTCTTGCTCTTTATTTTAGTGTAAATCTGCTAAATAGAATTATGCAATCATTATTTTGGTATTCATAGTTGTAAGCAAAATTCTCACATCTGCTTATTTGCATTTTTAAGGTCCTGTGACCAAGTGGTTATTTTATTAAAGTAGTCAAATAGCATTACACATGTACAAACATACCCAAACGTCATGCAAAACATTCTATAGATCTGGGGCCAGAGCGACAATACAGAGGGAAAGGCTCTTGGCCTTGCACACAACTGAACTGGGTTTGATACTGGTCCCCAATTCCTCCTCAGACTGATTCCTGAGCACAGTGCCTGAGTGCAGACAGGAAGTAAGCCGTGAGCACAGCCAGATGTGGCCCAAAAAAACAAACAATCTACTGAGAGTAGACTATAGACAGAACATGATGACTACTTAATACCTGCATTGCAGACCACAACACCCTAAAGGAGAGAGAGAGAGAGAGAGAGAGAGAGAGAGAGAGAGAGAGAGAGAGAAAGAGAGAGAGTAAACAGGGAATTCACCTGCCACAGAGGCAGGGGGTGGGGGGGAATGGGGGAAATGTGAGAGGGATGCTGAGAACACTGGTGGTGGAGAATGGGCATTAGTGGACGGATGGGTACTCAATCATTGTATGACTGAAACGTAAACACAAAAGTTTGTAAGTCTGTAACTGCATCTCATGGTGATTCATTAAAATAAAATAATAATTAAAAAACAATCTATGGTTCTGTTATATTCTTTTCATTGTTGAATGCAATATATTATTGCATCTAATATGTTATCTAACATACAATGTTACATCTAATATATTATTTATATAATAAAATACTATTTATACAATAAAATAATATGCTATTTCATTGTGTTGACAGCCATAATTGACTCATTATTTTGATTCATATTATCACATTCAATACTTTGATTCATACATTGATTCATATTATGACAATAATTCATAATTATTTTATTACTCATGAACATTTTGATGATTTCTCAATCCCTTAAGAACAATGATTATATAAACATATATATGCATACACATGCATCACTGTATCACTGTCACTGTCATCCCGTTGCTCCATCGATTTGCTCGAGT